TGCACCCGTTGAATCGTTGCCAGCTATAAGTAAGTGGAGAGGAAGCAACGAGGAGGGTATCCAGTGGATCACGAACGGTGGCGGCGGCTTCCTTTCCTTCTTTCTCTCGCTCTCCATTCCTGTACTCTAGCCAGAGCTTGTAATTCGCACTTGTATCTCGAATTCCCCTGTGCATGTAATAGATCGAGAGAGTATGTACCAGTACCCTAACACCATCGCCTTTGGGCTGCTGAACACGAGCCCAGGGACGAGGCTCGTGGTCATAAAGAACCTCAGGGTCTGCGGCGACTGCCATGACGCCATCAAGTACATGTCGAAGATCGCCGACAGGGAAATCGTGGTGCGAGACGCCAAACGCTTCCACCATTTCAAGGACGGAGCCTGCTCCTGTGGCGATTACTGGTGAATGGTGTCTCGCGACACAACCTGTCCGTTGTCCACCAGCTCCGTCTTTACTTGGTCTCAAATCTGTATGCCGCTGCCATGAACTAGGACAAGGTCGTGCGGAAGCTAATGAAGCCTGGGTGTAGCTCGATAGAGATACGCGGAGTCTACTGACTGACGTGAACCAGCATATAGGTGAGTGCCAGTTCCAGTTGTCCTGTGCAACTGCAAACACAGTGATTATGAAACCGTGATGGGATGGTTACGTTTCAGAAATTTGAACGAAGGCTCTAGATCTTTTTCATGCTTCTCGGAGATTTGATACCATAGGGAGGACAAGCAGAATAACTGTGCAAACGTCTCTCATCAGTCATTGTCTGCTGAAATAATTGTTACCCGAGTGCAGTACCACAAGTCCACACATGCACTGCGTCTGCGTCGTCACCCCTGTTGAAATCGTCGCCAGAGTCGTAGGCGACCGTACCTCTGAATACATGACGCAGCGGTCGGTCGTCGAGGTCGTCGAGGTTTACGGCACCACGACTCTACCACCACCAACGCCAGTACCGATCGCGACGTCAACACCGGCCGTGCTCGGCGCGCCATCCCGAGCCTTCGACGCACCGTCGTCGGTCTACGCACCGGCCTCGCGATCGTTTCATTTTCCACCGCCCCGGACGGGAGGCGCGTCGCGTCGTGGTAGTGCCCCGTCGGCGAGCGTGGCCGTCGCCGTCCGAGCGGCCGCGGGCGTCTCTTGCCGTGGGGGCGGGGGAGGCGACTCGAAGCGTGGCGAAGTTTTGCTTTGCCTTGCCTTGCCTTGTCTTGCTTTTCTCCCGGGGCTCGTCTCGTGGACCCATCGTGATCGCCAGTAGTACGAATCTTGACGAGGGGAGGGGGTCCAGATAACGCTGGACGGACTTTCGTGGCGTTCGTTCGAGCTGCTAGTGGTTGAGGAACGCTTGCTTCTGAAGGAGTAGGAGTGGCGGGTCGGACGGACCTGCCCCATGTGGGAGCATGGCAATGCCGCTCGCTGTTCGAGACTGCTAGGCCATAGCTATAGCGCCTCGACTATTGGCAGTTGAGCATCCGCTGCTCATGATTGGGATCGTTTTTCCGCTTGATCGTGGAGCTGCTTTGGCCCTCTTCGTTGACTTGCCGGTGAGTGGAAACTGGCCGGCGTCTGCACGACGCGGAATGTCGCGTCCGACGACAGCGAAACTTCTTTCTTTAGAAGATCAATCAGGGATCGCCTCCCCGGTTCCATTTCATTGCAGAACGAACACGCATCATCCATCTACCCTACTCCATCCACAGCGAAGGCGTTTTCTTTTCTTATATAAAGCTCCGGAGGAAATGTCTCTGAATCTGCACCCAAAGTAAATCTTAATCTCTCCCAAAAATAAAATGCAAAATCTTAATCTCTAATTATCCTGGCGCGTCCACGTGGGCCTTTTGGGATTGTCCAGCTGGTCGACGATACCGGCCCCCAACCCGCGGGAAATCGCCACGGGAGCTTCGCTACGACGCTTACCCGCCCGCCATTAACAATCGCAACCTGCCAACACCACCACCCCCCCTTTCGCTTCTCTCGCGTCTCGCCACAACTTTAATTTTGCGGAAAAGGCCCCCTCCAACTACCGGCGCTGGACGAACGTGGGCGATGCTCCGGCCATCGCCGTACCCGTCGCGGCGTCTCCTCCAGAGCGGCGACCCCAGCCGCATACCGGGCATCCCCCCGGCCGATCCGCCCGCCGGCGTCAGCTCAGATGTCGTCGTCATCCTCGCCGCCCTGCTCTGCGCGCTCATCTGCGTAGTCGGCCTCGCCGCCGTCGCGCGGTGCGCGCGCTCCCGCCGCAACGCCAACGCCCACGCCAACCCCTCCTCGCCGTCCGGCAGCCCGGCCCACGCCCTGGCGGCCTTCGGCGGGGGCGGCGGCGGGCATAACCATGGTACCACAACTACTACGACGACAGGCGCGTCCGGGGGCAGCGTGACGACCACCAGCAAGGGGCTCAAGAAGAAGGCGCTCAAGGCGCTGCCGAAGCTGGCGTACGCGGACGCGGTGGCCGCGGCGGCGGCGGCGAGGGGCGCCGTGGCGGGGGGCGAGGAGGAGGAGGGGCAGGACGGGATCCTCGCGGAGTGCGCCATCTGCCTGACGGAGTTCGGCGAGCGGGAGGAGGTGCGCGTGATGCCGCAGTGCGGCCACGGGTTCCACGTCGACTGCGTCGACACCTGGCTGCGCTCCAACTCCTCCTGCCCGTCCTGCCGCCGCCCCATCGTCCTCGACGACCCCGCGCCGCCCAAGCGGTGCCGCAAGTGCGAGGAGACCATCCTGGAGGCCGTCATCGCCTCCTCGTCGTCGTCGGCCGGCGGCAGCCGCGGCGGCGGCCGTGGGGGATTCTTGCCGTAGTAGCAGTAGAAGAGCCGTCATGTCCCCTGGCGGGTGGGTCCAGGTCGGTGTGGGTAGTTGAGCTGCTCCTTTCTGCTGCTGGCCCACGCTGCAGTACTACCGCAGTGAAGTTTTTCTTCTCAAGAAATGGAAGGGAGAATAATTAGAGCTGTGATGTGAACGTGACTCTTTTCTGCAACCTTTTTCGCCCTGCACTTGCGCTGCTGCTCCAGTACGTATGGATGTGGGGAACATGACATCAGATTTGTAAAGAGCGTGCGTGGTCTCGTGTAAAAATATAGGAGTACTATTTGTACTGCAATAGCTTGCTCAAAAGAGGCAAAGAAAAAACATTTTACATGTGGATCCGGCAAGCTAGAAATATGCAGCTCGTGTCTGAAAATCTGTTTGGTGTGGGCGATTTGGGTGGAAGTTGTGGAGTAATGGCAGTTATGAAATACCCCCTCCGTAAATTAATATAAGAGCATTTAAACTAATACTTTTATAAAAATGTTTAGATCACTAAAATAGTGATATAAACACTCTTATATTAGTTTGCAGAGGGAGTACTTCCAATATGAAGAAATATGTAGAAGTCGACAATGGCATGAAAATGTTTCAGGTATGGAGAGAGAAATCAATAATCCTAGACGTAGGGGCCTGTTACAGGATTGTTACAGAACTTTTCTTAAATCTCTCTGCCCCCTAATTTCCCATCGGGTGGCCGGCCTCACTCTCCTTCCTCCGAATCCCCCTTTGCCATGTCACCGTGTAATAATCCCAGTCCGTACTTGCCTATATGTGTAGCAAAGCCCGAGAGAAATAGACGAAAGATGTGGAGTAATGGCATGTATGAATATCAAACTTCTCGTACGGAGAAACATGTAGAAGTTGACAATGGCATGAAGATCTTTTTGGTGTTGAGAGAGACATAGGTGGAAGTTGTCGAGCAATGACACGTATGAAATATCAAACTTCTGATATGGAGAAATGCGTCGAAGGCGACAAAGGCACTTACAGTGACAGGGAGATCACACTAACTTTGGAATACTTAGACCATATGTCGCTACATATGCATAAAGAGTGTGTTACCTGCAGCCCTCCGAGCACGTCTAGTGGATGAAAGTAAAACTGGTTGGTTGATCATGCGAGGCGCTAGCCCCTACGGCACACAAAACTAAGTATCCCCTTTGTAAATTAATATAAGATCTTTCAAATAACTAAAATAGTGATATAAAGATCTTATATTAGTTTACAGAGAGAGTATCTCATTGTAACGCCCTCGATGCGGCTATAGCTCCCACGTGTCGAGGCACGACTTAGAGGCGTAACCGCATTGAAAGCAATGTCGTAAGTTAGGCAATCTTTACAACATCCCATGTAATATAGATAATAAAAGGGGAGATACATAATTGGCTTACACTCGCCACGTCAATCAAAGTACATAAATATCATTACATCAATCAAACACTCATGGCCCGACTACGACGTCAAAATGAAAGATAAACCCAACATGCGACACGGTCCCGATCGCCCCAACTGGGCACCACTACTGATCATCACGGAAAGACACGTAATATCGGCGTGAGTCCTCGTCGAACTCCCACTTGAGCTCAAGCGCGTCATCCGGAACGGAATCATCAGGCCCTGCATCTGGTTTGGAGGTAATCTGTGAGCCACAGGGACTCAGCAATCTCGCACCCTCACGATCAAGACTATTTAAGTTTATAGGTAAGGCAAGGTAAAATATGTGGAGCTGCAGCAAGCGACTAGCATATATGATGGCTAACCTGTTCGCAAAAGAGAGCGAGAAGAGAGGGCAAAGCGCGAACGAATAACTAGAGAACAACCTGCGGCAAGCATTACTCCAACACCGTGTACACTTCCCGGACTCCGCCGAGAAGAGACCATCACGGTAACTCACACAGTTGATTTATTTTAATTGAGTTAAGGTTCAAGTTATCTATAACCGAACATTAACAAATTCCCATCTGCCCATAACCGCGGGCATGACTTTCGAAAGTTCAAATCCCTGCAGGGGAGTCCCAACTTAGCCCATGACAAGCTCTCACGATCAACGAAGGAATAGACCTTCTCCCGAGATATTCCGATCAGGCTCGGTATCCCGGTTCTACAAGACACTTCGACAAGTTAAAACAAATCCAGCAACACCGCACGAATGTCCCGACAAATCCCGATAGGAGCTGCACATATCTCGTTCTCAGAGCACACTCAGATTGTCCTAGGTACGGGTAGGCCAGCCCAGAGTTGCCGCTGGTGGCCACCGGCAGCTGACAGGTGGACCAACACTCAAAGGAGCACTGGCCCGGGGGGGTTTAAATAAGATGACCCTCGAGCTCCGGAAACCCAAGGGAAAAAGAGGCTAGGTGGCAAATGACAAAACCAAGGTTGGGCATTGCTGGAAAAGTTTTAATCAAGGCGAACTATCAAGGGGTTCCCATTATCACCCAACCGCGTAAGGAACGCAAAAATCCGGGAACATAACACCGATATGACGGAAACTAGGGCGGCAAGAGTGGAACAAAACACTAGGCGAGAGGCCGAGCCTTCCATCCTTTACCAAGTATATAGATGCATTAAGATAATAAGATAATATAATGATATACCAACAAGTAAATAATGTTCCAACAAGGAACGGTCTCCAATCTTCACCTGCAACTAGCAACGCTATAAGAGGGGCCGAGCAAAGCGGTAACATAGCCAATCAACGGTTTGCTAGGACATGGTGGGTTAGAGGTTTGACATGGCAATTTGGGAGGCATGATAAGCAAGTGATAGGCATCGTAGCATAGGCATAGCAAAAGAGCGAGCATCTAGCAAAGCAAAGATAGTAGTGATTTCGAGGGTATGATCATCTTGCCTGCAAAGTTGTCAGAGTTGACTGGATCCTCGAAAGCAAACTCAACGGGCTCCTCATTAGAGAACTTGTCTCCCGGCTCTACCCAAACAAGACAAACAAGCAACAAGGACACAGTCAACCACGTGCAAACTCAAACAACATGATGCAAAGATGGTATGCTATGCGGGATGCAATATGCGATGCATATGCAAGATTTGACAAGGAATGCGTGAACCTGGCCTCAACTTGGAAAACTAAATGTGCCACTAGAAAGATGAGATGAAATCGCTTGAAAACGATATAAAGAACACCGGAATCGGAGTTACGGTTTGGGAATGGCAGGCAATTCAAATATGACCACGTTCTGCGATTTACAGCAAGTAGCCATCTAAATGCAACAAGATGAACATGCTACAGCACCCAAACATGGCAGGGATCCATTCATGATGCTTAACCAAAGGCTAGCACTGACCTACGGCCAATTCATCCATTAACAGGTTCAAACAAGTATGACAAAAATGCATTTGGTAAACAGATTTCAGAATTAGTGAAATTAACACTTGTCTGGAATTTCAGATCAGGTAGCACACTTTGGAGCATGAAAACTATATGCTACAGGACCTGAACATGGCAAAGTAAAGCATGGCATGGAGCTACTCAAAGAGCTTAACAAAAGTCCCTTAGTGACCTTAAGCCAAAAGGGATCATAAAATACATTTGCAAGCATGTGAACATGGAAAAAACATAATCAGTTCCCAGACTTAGTGAAAACTGGAGCATGCAAAATCAGATATCAAGTAGGCATGTTTACGAGCTCGATGCACTCACTACAGAGCAAGTCATGACAATCTAAGCATGCACCCATGAAGAATACACCTTATACAAGCTAGACATGGCAAGAACAATAACATAGCATGCATGGATCAACTACAACATCCTCGGCAAAATCGCTAACAAGTAGACAATCTGCCCAGATTCACGAAATGACAAAAGTAGAGCTTGATTGACTCAAGCTAGGGTGCTCCATAATTGCAAACAAAGACATGGATGGATAGAGCACTACAAGATTAACAAAACATCCTTACTGATCATCCTCAAAAGAGGCATGAATCACTAGGAAACAACAAGAACATATGGCATATTGAGATAAACAGATCAAGGACTTGGTGGAAATGCTAAGTACCTGAAATCAGCATTAACGAATGCACCACTTTGCAAGCTTGTTCTAGTCACCACACACATCACAAAAATACATGGGTTGCACCTCTGGATAGATGGCAAAACATATAACAAAACTCATGAAGAGCTCAGGGGCATATCATGCAAACAATAATCATGGCAAAAATGAGAAATATCTAATTGGAGCAGCAGATCTGACAATTATCTCAAATAACACTCTTCTAACAGCATTTCGGGCATCAAGATGAACTCAAATGAAAATGACGCAATGAGATGAAATGATGTGCTCTCTGAGAAGAACATTTTGATATGCTATATGTCCAAAATGGAGCTACGGATGCAAAGTTACTACACGATGAATAAGGGCAAAATATCTAGGGTTTGAGGCAAAAAGTCAACCGAGACGTTTAGATCTGAGATTTGCACGCCTCCCGAGGATCGTCGTCGGACTTGCCGAAAAACGGAGTCGGCCACCGGAGAAAGCTCGCCGGAGACTCGGGGAGGCGGGGGCCGGGCCGGATCTCGCCGGATCCGGGGCCGGGCGGCACTAGGGAGAGGCGGCGGAGATGGGCGCCGGCGATGGGGTTCCG